TTTTTTATTAAATTTTATATTTTTATAATGAAAAAGAGAAAAACTTTACAACCATAAATTTTCACCATGTAACTTTTTGTATGTTGTAGAGGCATCAATTTTGAATATTTAGGGATTTTCTGAAAATTTTATAGGAGGTATTTTTAAAAATACATTTTTTTTATTTATTCAAAAATCATTCTGAACTGAAAAAATTATACTATAGCACAATAAAAGTCTCAAAATAGTCTTTTACACAATCCCTAGTAATTATATTGAATTCTAAAATATTTTTCCTACCTACCATTATATCATTTTGTGAAATTTGGAATATGCCTATTTTTTGCTTTAATTAATGCAACGAAATAAATTACATGATTTACTATTGAAAAATGAGGAGTTATGAGAAAATGTGATGGAAAATATGAAAGTTTATTCTGGTGCCTACGAGAATGTTATTATAGCTATATGATATATTTTGGTTCCTATAAGGCATGTTCTAGTGATTATAAGTCATATTTTGGTGTAATATTCATTATTACCAGGTAAATGAAGTTTATTTTAGTGAAATTGTAAATAAATATTAGTAAGAAATATACTAAATTAAATTAGATAATTCTTTAATTCCTGAACGAATGCTTCCAAAGGGGTGTGTAGAAGGCGGTTATGTTGTGGGCCTCACATCGCATTATCCTCCACACAAGCAGTAATTAACGGAAGCCACAAAGGAAGTCGGGAGAGGAGAAATTTCGGTAGTGCAGAAATCACTGTTCACCAGTTCGGCACAGTGCTTGGAATCGCAACAAATCTGTTCGGCAGGAATTCCTATAGCATAATCGCTGAAGTTACTGTACAGGAGGAGGCTCAATACTTTGCTGGGTAAGTATGCATTAAGAGAATAATTGATTTCCATTTCAGAAGAATTCAAACTATGAGTTTTTGGAAAACCGTGGGATTCAATAGTGCAGGTCCTGAAGCAATATTTTGCTTTGGTATAGGAGGATTTTGCATAGTGGAGTTCGGCGATGCAGAAATAAATAATTTGGTGTAAGCATACAAATTAATAGAAGAAGATTCTGTAGCAGAGAATTGGAGAATTTGGCTATGCTGGGAGAAATTTCAGGTATGATAGTAAGATTTAAGGGAAAGTAATTAGTTTCTGTTATCAGATTTTTTAATGTAATTAATATAGGATTTTGTGATGGTTTATAGTGATTGCAAGTGTACAAACTAATTGAGGAATAAGTGAAGTGAAGGAAGGTTAAGAGGAAGATTAGGAATTACCTGCATATACATGCAAAGAGAAGATTTTATAGTGACTTACAATCGTAAAAGGGTGCGAAGTAGAGAATTGGAAGAGACGATTCGTCAAGGAGGTAAGTTATGTAAAGTTAATTCCTGATATTTTTTAGTATATTTATTATGTCTTTTCAATGATCTGAGTAAGTCAATATATTATGAATATTTACGTAGTAACCATGAGATTATATTGAGATATTCGTGTTAAACAAATGTCTTTTATGGGAAAAATGAAATTAATATTTGATCAAGTATGATGTTTCAATCTTTTTGATAATATGTTAAAGAAAGAAGTTTGCATTTGTTAGATAATGCATGTTAAACTCTTCTTGTAACACTTGTACTATTTTATAAGTGGTAAGAATATGAATTATGAATATGAGAGTTTTTGAATATTTAATTAATAAAGATTGGCTAGTTTATGTTATGATATCTATATTTTCAGGTGGGCAAAAGAGACCTAATATGAAACCTGAATTATAGATGGGGCTAAAGGGACTCCAAGGAAATGGATACCTGCATAGTAGGTGGGGCAAAAGGGACCCCAAGGAAATGGATACCTGCATAGCAGGTGGGGCAAAAGGGACCCCTATAGAGGTAAAAGGGACCTCTATGAAATTCAATGGTGATAATGGCATATTTACCTAGGCTCCATTGAATATTTTAAAGTATAGCCAAATCTTTTAAAAGATTAAATATTCAATATATATCTCAAATGACATAAAGGATGATGTTCAATATGATGCTTTTGATGCTTTTCAAATAATGATAAGTTGGTGCAATGATTAGCTCAATATTGTATTTCATTTTATCTATTCAGTTTATTGTTATTTAATTTTGCATAGCTTATGTGAGCCTCATAGCTCACCAGAACTTTCTTCTGGATGTTTTTACAGGTAAAGGAAAAGATAAAGTTGTTGTTGATTAGATTTCAAGTACCTCAATGTTATGTGTTATTTCTATATTTGTTAGTAAGGATTATCTTAAGGGTATGTAAACACTCATTTGAAGTATTTTATTTGGAGGTTCCTTAGTGGCTCTGTAACTATGTTGTGGAAGTTTAAAAATGTTAAGTACTTCAGTTAATGTATCAATGAAGGTTTATGAGATACTTCGTATAGTTATGAGAGTGGTTAACTGTTTTCAAAAACTTTATGGAAAGAAAATAATATGTTTTAGTTGTTACACTCTACAGTACTAGTCAAGGGTAATGTAGGGTGTTACAGCTCCCTTCTTCAGGTTCTTTTGATTTTCGACCAACTGTGCAAGCTTCATGGCCTCCCCTAGGTCCCTGGGCATCAGGACCTTCACCGCTGCTCGCACCTCAGCCTTTAACCCCTTCATAAAATTTCCCTCCAGCACTGTCTCGGACAAGCGCTCCACCCTGCTGGCCAAATGCTCAAACCTCTCTCGATAGTCTGCCACAGACCCCTCCTGTACTAGGACAAAGAACTGCTCGTAGAAGTCTCCTCACCGATCGGTTTGGAAACGCTCTAACAAATTGTCCTTGAATTATCCCCAGCTCCGGATAAGTCTCCTTTGATCTCTCCACTGGTACCAAGAGAGTGCCTTCCCTTCCAGACACAAACCTGTTGCCGATAACTTTTCCTCCTCCGTCAATCCGTTAACAGCAAAGTACCTCTCCACTTTGTAGATCCACCCATAGGCATCCTCCCCTTCAAAAATGGGCATTTTCAATTTCCTTACCTTCCGATCCCCGCCATTCCCCCTTAAACCTCCATAGTTTCCCCTCTCCCATGTGCCTAGACCCCCCCCCATGTCTCCCGATCTTCCCTTGCTCTGCCCTGTCCCAATCCCCCTTCAAAATCCCCTCTCTGATCTTCAAACACAGCTTCCCGGCGCCCCTGATAACCCTCCCGATGCTCCCAACCAGCACCTCTTGGTTCCCCACCTCCATAGCCTTGCCCTTTCCACATACCTTCCTCCTCTCTCCTCTCTCTGGAAAGGCTCCAGATGAGGTCTTCCCCTACTCCCTTCCACGATTTCCACTTCCTCTTCCTCCCGATGGATTTGAGAGTTGGTGTTCTTCGCTGCGGGCCCTTTTGCATCAGACGTCGCCGATTGGGTTTGAAACTCCAACATCTTTTTCATCATATCCCGTAGATCGGCCACTTGTCCTTCCATGGAGGACATTCTTTCTACTACGGTCTCCTTGATTTGATTCATCTCTCCTTCAATCCTCTCCTCCAAAGCATCCACCTTCTTAGCCGTTATCTCCTACGGCTTGCAATTTAGGATAAGATCTCAAGATCTGGAAAAAAAAATCAGCGATTTTCTCCTTCGCCGGCACAATTTCAGCAGCTGAAATTGGTCAAAAACAGCCCATGATTCGTCTCAAGACTTGCTCTGATACCAATTTGATAGAAAATACTTGATTTCGAGTATTTCCTAATCACTTTGGCGACAAATCTCAAAGAAAACTGATGTCCACAGCAGGAAATCAGCCAAAAACAGTAGAAAAATAGGGAAAACTGCGGAAAATGTGGAGAAAAGACTTGTATTTTATTAGTAGATGCAAGGAAAATAGCAAAGATACAAGGATCCTCTATTCGAGAGGAGGATCGCACTCTCTCAATCTCTAGAATTCGATCTAGAGCCCTAGCCAACAAAGAAGAACAAGAAAACTTCAAAGCAAAAATCACATAACCCTAATCTCTCCTTTTCTCCCTACTTAATGCATACAATTCAAAAATAACCTAAAAGGACCTAATTGCCCTTGCTCCCACGTCTTTTGGCTCCAAGAAACAAATTCAAAAATAAGTGGACCCCACCCAAACAACTCCTCAAACTTCCGCCGGCTCCCCTCCTTTTTCCGCCCTTTCCCGTCGCATGTAGACAAACCGAGCCGGCCCAAAGGATTGGGCCGGCTGGACCGGTCCAAAGAGGACCAGTCTAACACATCTATAGGACAAGTGGCATTTGAAGACAAAAGGAGTTCATGAGACTTATAGCCTCCAAAGCTAGCTCAAAATTTAAAAAGTTACGAGATTTAAGGTTTACACATTTATTCTAAGTGAAATGGATGCAAGCCAATGAGCTGAGCAACATTAAAATCAAACTCAAGCTCGTTTAATATAAGAGCAATAATTTAAGATCAAGTTCGAGCTCGTAAGTTTAATATAAGTTTTGCTTTTTGAAACTAGATATTTTAGGCATCAATGCAAGTAAATGTATGGATTTCTTAATGCTTTTTTTGCTTTTAATCTTTGCATCGCAAATAAACAAGAAATCAATTATCATGATTTTTTTATTTACAGTTCTTTGATCAAAATTCAACGTTTTAATGAAACAAAACTAAAACCTTGATGGCAGTCAGGCTTTATGGTGCGGTAAATCTAACAGCATAGGTTCAGAGTTTAGTTGTCGTTAGATTAAAAGTCAAATGCCAATATGATAACCATATTGTACAATAAGAAAGTAAAATTTTGATGTATGATACATAATGAACAAGGAGAAATTTAATTAAAAAAAAAAAATCATTTAGTGATGAAAAGAGTAAACTTATTTGGAATATTGGAATTGCATGCTTGGTTACAAAAATCTCAACTTCTTTTTTGTGACAAAAACCTTCATGTCATATTTGGCAAAAGCTTCCTAATGCTTTTAATAAACTAAATGAACATAATACACAAATTGCAAATGATTTTGTATCAGCATCAGCAGAGGCAAAAAAGAAAAGACAACATTTAAGTTACAAATACCTCTTTAATAGTAGCCTTTACAGGAACACCAAGAACAGCTGCCCCATTCAGCCACCCATCCTTCAGAACCTAGAAGCAAATAATCAAGCATGAAGTTGCTAAAAATTTGAAATTGCTAAGGTGGAGCAAGCTTGTGACAGATAATCACCTACAATTTAATAGATATAAATATACCATGCCTAAAACATATTAGTAATCACAGTATGCATAATGGGAAACCTTTAAATTGGACTCCTACAGCTAAAAATGTAGGTAGAACCGTAGAAGGAATACAATTATGTTTGCTAGGAAGTGGATGCACTTTTCAAATGATCCCTACCTCCAGAATCTCTTTGATCAATCTATCGACCTTATCTTTCTGGAGCTAGGGATAATGGTACGGACGAACACTGATAGCTGAAACTACTTCCTTCAATATGATAGCATAATCGTGTTCCCGCAAAGGAGACAACCCCTGAACTGGCTTAAACACCTCTCAATACTGCTATAGAAGTGGTTGAACCATGCATGGTATCTTCTCTCCATCTTCTTCGCCTTCCAAACTCTACAGCTCCCCCAAAAATCTCATTCCTTCATTATTCCCTCTCATTAGAAATCGCTCCAAAATCACCTTCATGTCATCCTGTCAATGTAATTGATAATGTTGAGCTGGCAGGAACTAGATTCTTCATATGTGAGGTAATTGAATTCTTGCTCACTTGAGAATGAGAAACTACATAGGCTTTGGAATCTTGTCTGGTATAACCAGGATTTATTAAACAAAACTTTGCATCAGATTCAGCTACTCTAGCAAATTTGTTCATACTTTGTTGAGAGTTTTGCTTGACAGGAATTAAATGTCGTTGATATTGATAATGTCCTTTGATGTGAATATCCAACAACTTCTTTATCATTCTTTCTATGTTGGAAAACTTTTCATCTATTGATGACATTCTATCCTCAAACGCCAGTTTGAGTTGGTTAACATTTTCTTTAATACGCTCTTTCAAGGCATCAACCTTCATCTCCATAGGTCCCCAAAAAATGCTCTAATACAAATTTGATAGGAAGTGGATGCACTTTTCACAAAAAATCAACAAATGAAACATGAAAAATCGGGAAAAAAAATGCCCCAAAACAATTTTTATTGAAACAACTATAAAGAGAAATGCAAGATACAATTGGATCTTCAATTAGAGAGGAAGATCCAGCTCTCCCAAATCCCTAGGTGTCGGCTAGAGTCCAAATAACCTAAGAATAAACTAAATTCAGCAAACTCCAAAACATAATCTGAAATCACCCCATAGTCAGTCTTAAATAGGATCCCATAATTCCCTCACAAATAAACACCCATCCCATTCCCTAAATAAATTCCTCTCACATTTGAATTTAAATTAGATTTATTTCTCTAATTAATTCCCTCCTAATTGTAATAAAACTTTCCTAAACAATCCCCTGTTAATTCCTCCTCCTTTTCCCTAAATAACTTCCTCTTAGATTTTGAATTCAAATTAGATCACTTACCCTAAATAATTCCCTCCAAATTTTAATTAAAACATTTTTAAACAATTTTCATTCGATTAAGAACCTTCCTAAACAACACCCTCTTGGTTAGGAAACTTCCTAATTCCCTCTCAATCAAATCGGCCGGTCCATCAATATTTGATAGGAAGTTGATGCACTTTTCATAAAAATCAATGGATAAACAAAAAAATTGGAAAGAACGCCCAAAAATAATTTTTTATTGAAATAACTATAAAGAGAAATGCAATATACAATTGGATCTTCAATTGGAGAGGAAGATTCGGCTCTCCCAAATCCCTAACTGTCAACTAAAGCCCAAATAACCTAAGAATAAACTAAATTCAACAAACTGCAAAACAAATTCTGAAATCACACCATAGTTAGCTTTAAATAGGCTCCCATAATTCCCCAAATCATCCCCCTTTCCCTAAATAAATCTCTCTGATATTTGAATTCAAATTAAATTTGTTTCACTAATTAATTCCCTCCCAATTGTAATTAAAACTTTCCTAAACAATCCACCCTAAATTCTTTACCCTTTTCCCAAAATAATTCCCTCTTAGATTTTGAATTCAAATTAAATCTCTTGCCCAAAACAATCCCCTCCCTAATTTAATAAATTTTTTTTCTAAACAATCCTCCTTTGATTAAGAACATTTCTAAATAATTTCCTCTTGATTAGGAAACTTCATAATTCCCTACCAATCAAATCGGTCGATCCATCAATACTTCCCTCTCAAATTGTCATCTTGTCTTCAAGGAGGACTAATATACTAAAAAAAGGATTGTCGCTAGGTCAAATGATCCCTACCACTAGCATCTCTCTGATCAATCTCTCCTCTCATCCTCCTAAAGTTGAGGAGAATGGTACGAACGAACACTGATATGTGAGAATCCGTCCTTCCAAATGATTGCATGCTCATGTTCCCGCAGAGGATGCAACCCATGAACTAGCTGGAACTCCTCTCAATAATGATGTAGGAGTAGCGGAATCATGTTTGGTGCTTCTATCTTCTCCTCGTCTTCTTTTTCTTCCAAACTCTATAGCTCCGCCAAAAAATTTACTCCAACATTTCCCGATTTCCCCTAATACATATCTCAATCAGGTGTCACACTGCAACACAATTTAACCACTGGCAAGGGCCGCAAGGCACATTAATGAGCAGGTACATACTACACGATAATTCTTGCAGAACCATAGCTCATGCTGCCAGAAAACTAGCATGGCACAAGGACAAGGTGCAGCGAAATTCCTGAAACATAATACGGTCACCCAACTATTTCACTCCAACCACTGGAAATAAAGTAGAAGGCATCATGTGACGAGGTGCTTGGCCTAGTATACTCTTTAAACCAATATGTAACTTGAACATGCAATAGATCAAACACACTAATCTATAATTATTAAGGAAGTTAATCACCGAGTAGTGAACTCAAAATTCCAAGATTGTTTTATGAAAAGAAAAGACTTCCAAATTTGATCATAATTCATACATAATTTTTTGCAACACTGCAACAGGATGTAAATATTGCTAAGTATCTAGGCTAAAGTGAAGCCTTCAAAATTTACATGTAAACATGGAAGATGGTACATAGAGAACTATATAGCAACCTTCTTGACATCTTCAAATGATACTAGTGGCCTGGCAGAATCATGAATGCATACCAGTTCTGAGCTTTCATCAACTTCCTGTGAGGCACGTTAATGAGTCAGTATTAGCATAGGGAGAACAGGGTTTATATGATTAATTTAGGAAAATGGAAAATCCACAATGACTAGAAACTGGAAGCAGTGCTTCTCCAGATATTGCAGTTTTAGAAAATAAAAAGCAGCAAATTGGGGAATTTGACCTTTTTCACAATATGAAGTAATAAAACTTAATGCCAGTAGAGAAGATAATACAAATCAACAAGAGTAATAAAATTTGTGATAGGATAAGGTTGAAAGAAATTCATACAAGGCGATTCATAATTTCATAAAGCTCAACATACAAATGTAAGCTTGTTCATCTATCCCATTATCCACCCGTCCATACACATATACTAGCCTACACCCCTCTCCCTCTCCAATGACTTAAGTTTTATACAGCCTATGTAACAAAACAAGATTTTTCTGCTAGCCTTCAACTCATGATAATTTTCAAACATGATTTGATAGGTTTTGGTTGTTGCAACTTAGATGATCAAATAATTTGGTAGTGAAATGAAGAACTACAAAACTTTTTCTTCATACGAAATTAACTCTTAAAGTTTAGAAGAAATCAAAATAAATTCAAGTGACTAGAAACATGGGTAATAGAATTGATTTTTAAGCAAAAAATGAGACTTCATTACCCACCGAGTGCTTAAAAAGCCTTAGTTCTTCAAGGAAATGTCCCCAAGTTTTTATTTTCTATTTTTAAAGTTCTGAAGAAAAATTTTCTGCACAACACAGGACACCGTCTACTTTTTTTGTTCTTATTAAAAAATGAAACGAATTAGACAATTAGAACTTCAGCACAGAGTAATATGATAACAGGTTACCACCCACATTTTCCAAGTTCAAACTGAAAATACTACTAATTATCGTAGGATACTTGGAATCGGGAAATTTCATGTATCAAGGCTGTCCATCAGGTTCCTTCAAAGAATTGCTAAGGTTGACTCTTTTTCCCTCAAAAATATGATGTTGGTTCAAAATCCATAGGGATGACTGCAAAAGGTGAATTGTAGACAGCTCATGTTAGCGCATGATTATTAAATGTTTCTTAACTTGAATAGCAGGTATAATTGTTCATTTTCCCTTATGCTGCAAAAAACTGAGCACGCCCTTAACTTTTTTTCTTTTTTTTTTTTTTTTGGTTGGCAGGAGAGTGGCAACTTCTATATCGGCTGTCACGTTGCAAGGGTACCTGCAATCCACTAAAAACAGAGTCCTGTCTTTCTTTTCCAGGAAGCACAAACTTGGTCTCTACTTGGATTTCTTCACAGGCATCTAGAAAGAAGAAAACAAATTAGCTTAGAGATGGAAAAAGGCCGATCACGAAATGTTTGACATGAACATAACAAAATGGCACTCACATGAAATGTTGCACGTTCAACCAGATAAAATGACATGTAAACTAAATGCCAAGCTTAATTTCAACAGACTAACATACCCTCGAACACATCCTTGTAAGATGGGTCGCATACTACAATTATTTCCTTCACTTCACTTAACTTGGATAAAGTGTAGAAACTGCAAAGAAAAAACTCTATCGCTCGTTTACATAGCAAGTAGATCATTTCAATTATACGTATTTTAATGCGCAACATAACTTTTGCATATATACCTATAAAGGGCAATCGGTTTCCCCAAGAGAGGAAGGTACTGCTTTGGCATACTTACCTGTAACATTGGTGACATATTTTGTTCAAAACAATGCTATATAAAGCATTAAAAGCTGTAATTGCAATTATATAAGAAACATAGTTTACGCAACTACACTTACAGCCCTACAACATACTAATAATGATTCAGTGAAAGTCAGTATATAAGCCGCCTATCCAATTAATGGTTAGATAATATTGTTTTCACTTCAAATCTCACCTTGGTTTGATTGTAGAGAATAAATAAGGCAACTCCTCTCTTCATAAAGAAAAAACATAGGATAGCCAAAAGAATACAACAGAACTCCCAAAACTACCTCAATGAAATAAGATCAACCCACGACTAAGCATGTAGCGACTTTTCTTTGTAAGGTAAAATTAGGATCCAAAACTTAACAATAAGTAGTAAGGATTAATTGATCCATTTCATTATTCACAAATTTCAACATATTGTATGCATTGTCAAAGTTACATAATAAGGCATGTACCAAGATCCTTAAGCACATAATAAGGATGCATGATAAACCATCTAAAGATTATGAAACTTGGTAGAAAAATTTAGAGGTATCAACTGACAAATAAAAATGATAAACATAGAAAAGTAAAATTTAACCAACTTAAACTTTGAAAGTAGATAGCCAAAAAAAATTATATTCTTATAAAACAAAAGGCAAAACCACAAGACAAAATATTAAACGTGTCACTTGGAACCCATAGCGAGCACATTAATCCATATTCAAAAATGCTAAAAAAAAAAAAGGGCGTCTTAACCAAACACCAACAAACCAAATCTAGAAGATAAAACCAATAAAGAGCTAAAATACAAAGGAGCCACAGAAGTTACGCATGCAAGAGGATATTTGAACCTTGAAAGAATGTTTGACAGGTACTAGCAATAAAAAAATATATGATCCGACAAAGAAAAACATTGACAATAGAATGAATGTATAATTAATGGCATAGAAAATACAAGTTTTTTATTGTTTCATGCATGGGAATTATATCCAGTTATTGGAAATCATCAGAAAATTATTTTTCCAAAACTCTAACCTTGTCAGTGATGGCATTAAAACAAGCTATGAGAACTCACTATCTCTATCTCCTGTTAGCCTGATTTGGTTGTATAGGAATCATAGGTCCATTTTCAGAAGAAGCTGTCTGCCTCAAAAGATGATGGCCACTAAAACAGTATCAAGAATTAAAGTGTATAAACTTCAAGTCCACATCATTTGTAAAGAATAACTTAAAAGAATAAATATAATTTCACTAACTTTGAATTATTCTCGCTCTTCATGAACAGAAATGAATCTAATAAATAAAATATTCTAAATATTCCCTGGTCAATGGATATTACTCTACTGCACAAAAAGCACAGTCCGTTTATAATATATATATAAGTGTAACTAGAAAATTGTTTCATCTTCGAATGTTTGGCCTTTAAAGTGAAAAAAACAAAAGCATGAGAGAACCTACCCCCATCCGCTTCCCCTTCCCTCCTGCCAAAAGAATAACAGAAACACTTTTATCCTTCACAATTCCAGAGCCCTGCCAAAAAACATAACTCGAATAAGATGGTGAGCATATTTATGATACTTGCACCGAAACGTTATTGTCACTCCTTTCAACGTTAGCAATATCAGGCCACCACCTCATGCCTTCCTTCTTCTTGGGCAACGCAATGTATCTGAACCGGACTTGAAGTTGTTTCATCCTTCACTCCAATCCCAACATCTGAAGGAGACAATGCAGGGTTCTTAAATTGATTTCTGAAGAAAATAAAATCGGGATTGTGTTCAGTGTGTACGGTAGAAGAAAGGCTTCTTACCTGCGGAGCGGCGGCGGGATCGGGAAGAAAGGAATAGCCGGTAATGAGTTTTCGGAATCATGTTTAGCACATGGGGCGGGTAGGATGAGGCAGGACGGGCGGAATGAAGCCGATAGGGTGGGAGCTGATATGGGAGTGCCATCATGGGGTTAGATTGATAGCGGCGATGGATGCAAGAAAGAAAACCTAAGGCCGGATCCCGCGTAGATGAGCGGAGTACGGTGTAAAGCCCTCAGAAAGGAATCTAACTACAAAGTTCGGTTGAGATGGCAAAATTGTATGAAGTAGCACAAGTAGCATATTTACTTAAAATTTTTAAAAGAGTTAATTCCTCAAAATAATTGATGCATTTAAAATAGATTAAGAGAGAGAAACAGAAGTATATTTTAAATTTAATTTACATTTTAAATAATCATTATTTCTTACTTCTAATTTTAATTATTGTTGCGGGCTAGAATATATGCGGCGATAGAGTTATAATCATACGTCTTAGCATTGTACGGATATCCAGCTTATACATAAAGAACACAAGATTTTTACATGGAAACCCCTAAAAAGGGGAAAAATCATTGGGCCTGGCCCAGTTAAAAATGATTCCACTAGAATTATAGTATATTACAGTGGGTTGACTCGTCCCTAAGGGCTATCAGATTACAAATGCCAATTATATTGTTGAAATCTAGTGACAAATGGGGATGAAAATCTGACGTCACTTGGTGGTTCGTTGGAAGTCCGAAGTTACTTGGAAATTCGGGCTTCAGTTGGTAGTCTGATGATGGTTTGACATAATTCTAGGTGTTAGGTGATGGCCCGGCAAGACTTCGGGCGTCAGATGATGGCCCGACAGGACTCCAGGTGTTAAGATATGTTCCGGCAGAACTCAGGGTGTCAGGTGGTGGTCTGGAGGAACTCCAGACAACTAGTGGTGGTCTGATGGAGCTTAGGGTGTCAGGTGGTGGTCTGGCAGAACTCATGTCGTCAGGTAGTGGCCCTGTGGAACTTCGGGCATCAGGTGGTGGTCTGGTGGAACTCAAGTCGTCAGGTGGTGACCTTATGAAACTTCGGGCGTCAGTTGGTGGTCTGGTAGAGCTCAGGGCCTCAGGTGGTGTTCATGTGGAACTCCGGACATTAGGTGGTGGCCTAGCTAAACTCCAGGCGTTAGGTGATGGTCCGACGAACTCAGGGCATCAGGTGGTGATTTGGCGGAACTCTAACAATGGTCAAGGAGGCAAGAAGGCAAGAGCTATCTCTGAACTCTCTATTTTCTCCTTAGGCTTAGGAATCCCTTTTCAAGACAAAAGGGGGACTATTTATAGATTTCTTAGAGTGGCATGGCCCATAAATAGTAGAAGGGTCAAGTGAAAATGGAGAGTGGTTTGGATGAACGGTCAATGTTGAATCCCTTGATCGTAGACCATTCACAAAACATTTGTTAATGAAGTCGAATTTAATGATCTTAGGCTCGTTAGATTCATCTTGTTGAACCGCTCGATCTGATTATAAGCATGTCATGTTTAGAAGCCATTTGGTAATCCAAATTATGGTCCAAACCCTCCCACAGTGCTTCAGACCCTTGATTTGGACCCATTTGGACTCGAATTGAGTCAAATTTTGTGTCGTTGGGTTTGTATTTCCGAGACATTCAGTTCGACTGTAAGTTCATTGAACTCGGAGCTTGGATAGTCCCAATTTTAATTTTGGAAGCTTCCAACCTGATTTTTCCTCGATATTTGTGCCCGATTATGATATTTTTTGATGATGTATCCCTATTTTTGAACGTCGAAGCTCTAGAAGTCCAAAAATACGCATAACAACCCCTAGGGAAAAAGTTTTTGTGCGGTTTGGAACTTGAAAATGATCCAAACTTGTCATAGAGATCTCGAAAGCCTTACATGTTGAGAATCTAGATTCGGGAATTATAATTTTGATGATATCAAACATTTATAACATTTCTATTATTCTAGGACTATCTTGCCTACTAATGTTTCTGGTCCACAAGATTAAATTGCAAATCAAACTAGCTCAAGATTGGATAGATTAGGACTAAGTTAGTTTGTAATGTACGTCAAGTATCTTTTACCTTTTCTTGAGACAATTGTAACGTTGTGGGTCCTGATGTTAAGTAACCTTGCACACACACTCGGGGAAAAATTCTGATTGTTTTAGAGTTTTTTTTATTTTTGATCATATCATCCGGAACGATCCCAAATTATCCTGGATGATCAGTTAAAAATAGAAATCCTAATTAAGGCATCCTAGGTAAGGCATCCGCAATTAAGGAGATCGTTCTGGACGATATTATCATCATCCTAGACGATAGGCTCAAATCAGAAAGAATCAACTGCTAGATCTATTTAGGCATATTTTATTTTTGGACATCATCCTGGACGATACAGTACATTTATGCTTAAATTAGATTAGTAATTTATGAAAGTAATTAAGGTTTGATTGGTCGATCATATCATCCTGGATGATTACAGAATCATCCTGGACGATTACAGGATCATCCTGGACGATCAGTTAAATAAACCTAAGTTTCTTCCTGTACGACCAGAATGATGCTCTAGACGATGTGTACTGTTTTGTACAAATTATCTAGGACGATCCCAAAAAATCATCATGGACAATTAGTTATTTTTCCATCGTCCAAACATGCGATCAGGGTGATGTTCTGAACAATATTTGATATTTAGAATTATTCGTCCGGGACGATCATGAAATCGTCCTGGACGATCAGCTTAGTTCTCCATCGTCCATACATGCAATCAGGGCGATGTCCTGGATGATACTCAATGACTATGAACTAATCGTATAAGATGATATCCTATCATCCTGAACGATCAAAACAAATAAGTACCTTAATGGTCTAGACTCTCCCAGGTCATCCTGGCTGATTAAAGTAAATTTGTACTGATCGTACAGGACGATCCCTAGATCGTCCTGGACGATAATGTCAGTTTGTTGCAATTAAGAGCAAATTTGGAAATCTTTTATATAAAACCTCTTATTTATCCAAGATTGTATCTTTTGATGTTGTCTTGGCCTGAGAGAGCCAAGAGATAAGGAGAGCAAGGGAGAGAGAGAGGATCTTATGAGGGGAAGTTTATGAGGGGTTTCATAAAGGTTACTCCAAGCAAGGATTTGAGCCGTCTTCTTCGATCGTCGTCCCTGGTTCCTTAGAGGTCTACTTCAGTAATTGATCGAGGTTCTCTGTCTGCTTCAGGAGGAAGCGAAAGTAGTTGGGTTCTCTGCGTGCTTCAGGAGGAAGAAAAAGGAGTTGGGTTATCTGCCTCACCAGTGTCAATGGAAAGAAGATTTGTACAGGCTTCTCCACCTTGCTGTGGGAGCAAAAGGAAAGTCACTGAGTTTAGTGCAATACCAGAGGAGAGGCTCCGGGGAGTTGACGTATGTCAAGTTGACCGAACCACTATAAAATCTTGTATGTTCTTTCTTACTACTTTTATATATTTAATTTTCACACTTTCTATCTTCTTATGGTTATTGTTGGTTTTGGTTTATGGTTGTATTTTTTTATTGAGAAATTTTTAAAACGCCAATTCACCCCCTCCCCCCCCCCCCTCTTGGTTAGCCTCGGGCTAATTTACATGGGTTTAACATCCCTAACAAACTTTCAAGTGAATTTATATGATAAATGCAACGACAAGATTACGAAAGCTTGAAAGTGATTTGATGAATTTGAACATTATTTATATAAGATATATTACTTTAGCAAGATAGAAAAGATTTCAATCGCAAAGTCCAGTTGTTAACTTGAGATAGACTTTTATTTAGAAAAGAAAAGAACACTTCTAAAAGAAGTTAAAGAAAGGGAAACAATCAACGGTGTTTATCCCTTTAACTTATTTAGAGATGTCATTCATTGACTACAAATTTTTTAAAATAAAAATAAGGCACAGAATATCATTTTAGCAGTGATTAAAAAGAAAAAAGAAAAATAGAAGAAAATGATAGAAATGAAAACCCTGAAAAGAACAATAAAAATAAACCAATAAAACTAAAGTCAAAAGAAAGAAAAAAAAAAACAACAAACAACTGATTGAAAAATAAAATTTTGAAATCAGAAAGCATCAAGTTCATGCATTTATTTGCTCCTCCACCGCACCGGGGAAGGTGGAAGTGATTTTGTAAGGGCTTCTCCGCCTAGCAGTTGGGGCTAAAGGAGAGTCACTAAGGGTTTAGTGCAATACTCAAAGGGTGCCTCCAGGGAGTGGACATAGGTCAATGTTTAATCGAACCACTATAAATATTGTGTGTTCTTTATGATTATTTTTCACACTTTATTTTTACTATGATTTACTGCTTTGGTGAAATCTCTTATTAATATTTTTATTATTGATTTATTTTATTTCTGCTATAAAAGATAAAAAGATTTATCTTTTAGTTAAAGAAGTTTTAAATATCCAATTCGCCCCCCCCCCCCCCCCCCCTTGGTTAGCCCCCCCCCCCAGTCTCGGGACTAGTTTATAAGGGCTTAACATCCCTGACGAACTTTCATTACATTATCTTTCTGATAATTTTGCTGCAAATGTCACTACTATATATGAATCAAAAGACATTAATGTTTATTCAATCGAAAATCTACATGGCTCAGTTAATGCCTATGAGTAAAATGTAAGCCAAAGATTGTAGTATATAAGAGAGAAAAGGAAGGAAAAGACCATGGCACTGAATGCTAGTGACTCAGATAGAAATAACTCAAAATCAATTAACATTGATGATATAACCCTTATGATGAGATAATTCAAAAGCTTCCTAAAGCAAAAAGTAGGGGCGTCATTTTGAAAAAAGCAAAGGTATGGGAAGAAAATTCAATAAAAGTTTATAAGATATAACTTGCTTTTAATGCAAGAAGCTAAGGCATGTAAGATCTTATTGCCCCTACTTAAAAACTCACCCAACTAAGGAGAAGGGTGAGGAAAAGAATAATTTTAAAAAGGGGAAGCAATGGATGCAGAAGTCTTCCTAGGAAAACTCCACCTCGGATTCATCAAACAAGAACCGGAAGTGGAGGTAAGAAGTTTGTTCCTTTTGGAAAATGATAATAATTCTTATCAAGATGAGGTATGTCAATTATCCTATGATGAGCTCTTTATTATGTCTAAAAAAATTAATGACTTATATAGGAAGCTTAAGAAATAGTGTGTTAATTTGAAAAATGAGTTTTTTTATTTTAAAAGTTGAGCATGAAATTATGGTTAGGGAGCATAATAGTCTAAAAGTTTAACATTCTATTTAGATAAGAAGCATGCTT